TGCTAGACATTGACCCACGTGGGTTCCCAAAAAGATTATACTCTGTTACAGAAGTAATGAAAGTGAAATAAAAACCTTCTTTTGCTGTGAAATACCTTTCAACTCATGACTGATGGAAAAACTGATAGAATAGTAAAGGCAACAAATCATGTAAAGTAACTGGAGTTCTTTTGTAAAGGTTTTTACACCTTTAAATTAATTCTACTGGGACTTTGGCAGTTCTGACTTTGCTACAAGGTTCCTGACTTGAAAAGCAGACTCCAAGGATAAAATTCCTAACTAGTATTTAGTGTATCTGTTTGAAACAACCTGAAAAACTCTCCCAGGTTATGCCTTGAAAAAGAGCTTCCCCTTGTAGTTCTCAAAAGGCAGCACTGGCTCAGTGACCAAGTGACTCTTGACACTTTTCTTCTGAGGCTGTATGGTGTGCTCAGAGACTTCTTGTCCTTCTTTCTAGTAGTGATACAGATTTTTATATATAGATTTAGTTTCCTTAAACTGCTGTTACCCTACCTTTATTTCTTAGCAGTTACATAATATTCATCTTGATACCTCAAGACCTTGGTAATCTATTTTGATGCCAGTTTTGTCAAAGCATTTCACTGTTTAGTTGAACCCCAGATCTCTTTCCCCATCCCACACTCCACTTTGACCATCTGCCTTGTTTGCTTCTCGTTCCCTCTGAATAATATTTTTTTTTCATGTTAATCATTATGGAAATCTTATTTGGCTGTTGATTAAATGCCTGGGGGAGCCAGACTTACCAGTACTGTCTCTACACCTTTCTTGTTCACATTTCTTGGGAAAATCTAGAAAGGCAAAGCTCTGAATACCTTCAAAGAGTAATATAATGTTTGGCTCATACAGACTGTGGACATAGAGGGGCATGCACACAGTGAGTGTATATACAGGTGTTACACTGTCATTTTGACTTTCTACCAAGGCTTCCCTCCCACCCCCTTGTTTGCTTTTTGATTGTTTGGGGGTTTTTGCTTGTCTGGGTTTTTTTCACTTAAGTATTCTCTAGATATACAGCTGTCTCTTATACACATCTGATGTGTATAAGAGACAGCCCTCCCTCCTTCTTTCCCTCTTTCTTTTTTTATTTTCTTTTATATTTTGCTACAAATTTTACCTATAATATAAGATGTTATGATGCCTTTAAGACACTGAGAACTTTAAGAACTGAGTTTCACCTATGCTTGTTTTAATTACCAGGTCATGAGATAAGTGCCAGGCCTTAAAATGTGATGGTGGCAAAGGCAGTTGTTGTTCTTGTCATTGGTACCAGGGGTCTTGGTCAAGTAACAATCAGATGAGTCTAGAGAAAGTGTATTTTGTTGGGAGACAATACAAAGACGTGGGAACAGCATGGTCTGAATTACATATTACCATGGGGTTTTTTTAAACTCATTAGTTGATTCAAGTGTACAAATTCAAGACTTGACTGCACAAAGGGTGGAAATGTTGCAACTAGCAAAAGAATGCTACAATAAACCACCTGAAAGAATGCTTTGGTAAGTCATTATGGTCCTACACTTAAAGACTGTGAATTTTTTATTACTTGGAGATGGTTATACTGTGGGTTCCAGTACTTTTGTACCCATTAAATAAGTCTGGATTGGTTTTTTGTTTTGTTTTCAATCTCTTGGTTCATTATGCTTATTGACCAGTTATTCATACTGGCCTATCATTACTTGTCTGTTGCCTTTTTCCTTCTATTAAACTGATTTTTGTTTTGAAACATGAATAATGCCTAATAAAGTCAATGGGATATTTTTCTTACGTAGCATCGCTTAGAACTCTGATTACAAATTAAGACTGTGAATTTGTGTTCCTAATTCTGTTGATAACTAGGTGTGTAATCCTGGAGTAGTTATTTAGTCTGTGTTGCTGGTCTCAGTTTTGACCTATCTCTTTTTTCAGACTATATAATAGCTTCAGGATGGAAATTTTTGTTCTCTAACAACCAAGCATAAAAAATGCCCAAATCTGTGGTATGCTCTAACACACACAGACATGCACATGCACATACATACAAAATATAATTTAAAAGTTCGTAGGTGAACCCTTGTGGATCTGCAGTTCCTATACCTTCTTGAAGCCTTTCTGCTTTCTTGTGGTAAAGATACAATTGCTCACAGGTCCATTTAAATCTAAAAAGAGGTTTTGAACAGACCAAACTAGACAAGAAGAAAAAGACTGCAATAAGATCTTGGAGAGGAAGGAAAAGAAGCTAAAACTAGTGCTTTTGAGTATACAGAAAAGCGTTGGCTCCAACAGAGAAACCTAACTCTGTGGAATTCCCTATGCCCTCCACTTCAGTCCATTTAATAGGAGGAGCTAAGGCATCTTGGTGCCTTAGCTGCACCAAGGCTTAAAGAAGTATTTAACAGAGAAGCATCAAATAAGGTGCATATAAGTAATTTTTTTATTAGTTTCTATGGTAACACACCACTACATAAAGCCAAGAAATTGCATCCACATAATGCAGTGTTAGTTCAACCACGTGCACACTGACTGTCTGATACATAAAGGCATCAGAAAATTGCAGCGTATATAATAGAAGCAATGTAACTGTAAAATTAAGAGCTTGAATCTTGGAATCATAACACTAAATGATATTGCTGTGTCAATGCAATTTGTATGAATTGGGAGATGGCAGTGCTAGACATTGACCCACGTGGGTTCCCAAAAAGATTATACTCTGTTACAGAAGTAATGA